ACGAACACAGTAAATAAAATGTTTGAATCGATAATAAATGAAAAAAATAATATTGATAATAATAATAATAAGACAACTTTACTTAAAACCAACAGTGCTGATAAAGTAAAAAATAAAAATTCAGTGCCACGAAAAACACTTGAAAGTTTTATCAGAAATTCTAAAAGTGGTTCTCTTCTTATAAAAAAAGGTAAATTAAATTTTGTAATTTTTAACGCACACGCACACGCACACACACACGCACATTGTAAAATTTTTTTGTTTTTTATTGCTAAAAACTTTTTAAAAAAAAAAAAAAAATTATAAATTCATGAGAGGAGAATAATAATGATAATTTAATTGAATTTCAGATGATAAAATATCAAATTCAAATGTCAAAACATCATCACGGATTGTAAATGATGAATTAAATAAAAAAAAAAAAAAAAATGAAAAATTAAGTAGTAGAGAATGGATTGATCTGGCAAAATCGGATTATCTAAACGATTTTGCTGTTCAATTGGATTATTCTGACAATAAAAAAAATATCCAAGAAGAAATTCATTTGCCAACATCAAAAGCATGGGGTAAAATAACTCAACATTTTCCATTAAAATCATTCGATAAAGAAAATGAAAATGAAAATGAAAATATGAAAAATAGTAATCTTCCCGTCGGTGAGTTACAATTTTCCTTATTTTTTATAACAATTTAAATTATTTTAATAAATTTTTTTAAAAAATTCTACAGGTTTATTATCGGTTAAACCTGAACCTTTAAAACTCGACCGACATTTGGTTAAAGGAAGTGTTCGACTTTTAGTTTCAACTCTTCATACAGTTTTAAAAAGAAGTGCTGATTGGCTTAGCATTCTCGATTCTGATTCTTCCTGTTGGATTAAACCATCGTCGATGAATAAAAATTTTTCTGAAGTTTATGCTAAGTAAGTCTATTTGTAAATTAAAATGTTTTGTTTCATTTGTTTTTAATTGATTTCGTTTTTGGTTTTTTTTTTAAGGGAAATCAAACAAGCGGTTAAAGATTCAATGTCTGGACAGTATCATTTTCAAGAAGGAGATCGTGCTGATCGTTCTTTGTTGGCTAATTTTCAAATTTTAAATTTGGTACCGGAAAAACTTCAAATTAATTTCAATAATGAAGTTAACGTTATAGAAGATGCTGTTTTGTATTGGCGTCAAGTTGGAAGGGTTTTGGGAAAAAGTGCACAATTGAATACAATAGTGTGGCCTGGAGGAGATTTGGTAGCTTCAGCATTAAGTGCCAGAACAAAAAGTGTGTTCAGGTAATAATAATAATAATTTAAGGTTCTTGTTAAATACTTCTTTAACATTTCATATTGTGAATGAAATTAAAAATTTTTTCCAAGTCATTTTTTTCAAAATGAAATGTTTTAATTTGCAGAATCGTAACCGCACTCGCACCTCCTTTCGTCATGGAAGGAGCTTTAGATGAAGATGGTCAATGTTTAAGAGGAGTCATTTGTCACAGAGTTTTAAATTCTGACAAAGATAATTTAACACTAGTCTTTAACGAAATGGATACTCAAGAAAGAATGGAAGATGAAGTCGAAGAATTAGGTAATTTTATTATTATTTATTAATTTCATTCGTAAAAATAAAAAAAATTTTTCGTAAATAATTATCAAAAAAAAAAAAAAAAAAAATTTTTTTTTTAAATATATAAAATTTCAATTAAAATAATTTTTAAATTAGGTTATAATTTTGTAGGGAGAGATGAAAAAACGGAAAAACCATTTAAATTTTTTGATCAAACACTATTCGAATATCAAACAACGAAATATAAATATAAAAGCAGTTGCTGCTACGGATTAGCTATGGATTTATTAGAAAATGTTGCTCAGGAATTACAATTTGAATTTCATTTATATTTAATACCCGATGGAGCTTACGGTTCGAAAAATCATGTTTGGGAACAAGGTAGGTATTTATTTAAAAATCCAGGCACAATAAACAAAAAATTTTTTTAATAACGATATATAATAAATTTTTTTTTTTTTTTAGGAGCTCCACGTTCTAAGTGGAACGGAATAGTAGGAGATTTAGTTTCCGGTGCAGCTCACATGAGTTTTGCTGCATTGAGTGTATCAAAACAAAGATCACAAGTAATTGATTTTTCAACACCATATTTTTTTAGTGGAGTTTCTTTTTTAGGTGGGAAATATTTTTTGCAAAAATTTTCCAAATTTTTTTCCTTGTTTAAATATTAATTTTTATTCATTTGTTTTAGCTGCTCCGAAACAAAAAAGCGAAGTTCCACTTTTGGCCTTTTTACTACCTTTTAGTACTGAGCTATGGATTGCAATATTTACTTCATTGAACATCACTGCCATGGCCGTAGCTTGTTACGAATGGTTAAGTCCATTTGGTTTAAATCCTTGGGGAAGGCAAAGATCCAGAAATTTTAGTATTGCTTCCGCATTATGGGTAAAAATTTTTCTAGAGTTCTTAACGATGAATGAAATTTTTTTATTACCGATTGTACAGGATAATTATTATTATTTTTTTATATGTAGGTCATGTGGGGCCTTCTTTGCGGTCACTTAGTCGCTTTCAAAGCTCCAAAAAGTTGGCCGAATAAATTTTTAATAAATGTTTGGGGTGGATTTTCCGTTATATTCGTTGCGTCTTACACTGCCAATATAGCCGCTTTAATTGCGGGTTTATTTTTTCATACTTCCGTTAGCGACTATCACGATAGAAGTGTATGTATAAACAAATTATTTACGAAACCTGTGTGCCGCCATTAAAACTGACACCTTTTGCGGTTTTTTTTTTTTAGTTGTTAACTCAACGTGTGGGTGCCCCAAAATCTTCGGCAGCCGATTATTACATTCATCGTGCCAATCAACATTTGTGGGAACACATGCAAAAATATTCATTTAAAGATGTCGAAACTGGAATTGCTTTATTAAGGTAAAAAAAAAAAAATTTTGTTACATATAATTTACGTTAATAATTAAATTTTTACATTTTTTTTTTTTTTTCAAAAACGGATCTTTAGATATTCTTATAGCAAACACTCCGATTTTGGATTATTATAGAGCGACTGATCACGGATGTAAATTACAAAAAATTGTTGATGCCATAAATGAGGATACTTATGCCATAGGAATGAATAAAGGTTTTCCTCTCAAGGTAAAAAATGAAATTCTAATTACGAATATGTTGTTTTACGCATTTAAAAATTTTTGTATTTAATATAGGAAAGTATTTCTGCTGTCATTTCAAAATATTCAAACAATGGATACATGGATATACTTACTGAAAAATGGTACGGAGGTTTACCTTGTTTTAAAATGATTCCTTCAGTTGAATTGACTGACGTTGGACAACCTCGACCTCTCGGAGTTGCTGCTGTCGCTGGTAAAATTTTTAATATCGGATTTACGATTAAATGATATATCATCTAAAAAAAATTTGTTTATGTTTTAGGAGTTTTTTTACTCCTCGGTTTAGGAATGATTATTGGAATTTTAATACTTATTATGGAACATTTATTTTATCGTTATACTTTACCAATATTACGTCATCAACCAAAAGGAACAATTTGGAGATCTCGAAACGTTATGTTTTTCAGCCAGGTATGTTTTTTGTTTTTTTCCGGTCATCATTCGATGTTTCTTTTTTGTATAATTTTAAATTTTTCAATAAATATTTTTACAGAAATTATACAGGTTTATTAATTGCGTGGAATTGGTTTCACCTCATCATGCTGCACGAGAACTTGTTCACACTCTTCGTCAAGGTCAAATAACATCATTATTTCAAAAAAGTGTCAAAAGGGTACGAATAAAGTTATTTTTTTTGTTTTTTCGTTTAAAAAAAGGTTTCGAAAACAAAAAAAAAAGAAAATTAGTTCGTTAGAAAATTATAAAGCTTTATTAGCGGATTTCCCCTTAATGCAGTCCTTTGTTCCAGAAGGAGCATGAACAACGTCGAAGGAGGAAAAGTAAAGCACAATTTTTTGAAATGATTCAAGAAATTCGAAGGTAGTTAATTATACATTTTTTTAGTCGTGTTTGCATGTTTTTTTTTTTAATTATGTATATCTGGTTTTGTTTTTTTTTTAGAGTACAACAAGAAGGAAAGGAAGAAATAAAACTTTGTCAAACTGAAAAAGAAAATGTAGAACAATCTCCCAAAGGTCAGTTACGAGGTTTTTTAAATTCTCCACGATCTCTTAAGCAATTTTGCAGTTCTAAATCAACCGTCAGTCCGAAAATGTCAATTGATAGAACCAGTTCTTTAAATCCTTCAGAGCTATTAGAACCTAAAAAATCTCTCAAATCCCCGTCTCGATTGGATATACGAAGACTTTCGAAAGAATTATTTTCGTTACCCTGGTCCGCGAAAAGTTCGGCCAGCCTCGAAATTCAAAGACCGAGTTCGGATGTGGAAGAAAACAAAGATAGAAAAGAAATTACGAAAACGAATCAAATGCCAGAATTTATAGCAAAGGATATCAGGAGTCAAGCTTCAAAAACCATAGGAAGAAGATTGAGTAAAGATGTTTCATCTTGGTTGACCACGAGTCCTCCGGATTTGAGTTCCCGAAGAAAATCTTACATGGATATAATTCATCCGAAATCTTTGAGCGTTTCGGATAATATTTTAGACGGAAATATAAAAAGTAAAATGAATGTAAGTGATTCAAATTGCAATATTCTAGATCAAACGAAAACGAGTGATTATGCGAAAGAATTATGTGCCAAAAGTTCATCTTTAAATGCGACTATTAGTAAAGCAGCCACGCTAAGATTAGCATCGAGCGGAAGTACAAACGTGCCGAAAACTATGAAAGTCCGACCGAGACTTCCTTCACCTACTAAAAGTCCGGTATTAGGATTTAGAGGTTCTCAAACTCCTAAGATTAGTATATCGGACGTGGATAACTGCGGTTTATACGAAACGATAAAATCTAAAAATGAACCCACGGGAAAAAAACCAACGAGAGGACTTCACAGTCGTAGTAAAAGTCTGGATAATAAAAATCTTAATTTCGAAACGAAGCTGGTCGATATTCTTTCGGCAGACAGCAGCAGTTCGCAAATAGTCAGTTATGCAACTTTGGAGCATAAAGATGACGACGATTTGAAAAGCGTGACAAAGCATTCAACAGAAAAATTATCTAAAAGTGCATCGAACGAGGATAATAATAAAAAAATAAAAGAAAATCGACAAGACAAAAAAATGTCGACATCACCCTCAATAGTTAAAATGGATGGAATAAAATCAAAAGAATTATCATTATCGGTTAAAAATAAAACGGAATCTTCAAACGAATTAAAAGTTAATACGTGTTCAAAGTCTAAGGATATTGTGACATCAATTTATGCAGAACCACAAAAGATAAAAAAGAGTAAAAATGAAAATTTGACGACACACGTTCAAGATGTTGAAAGTCATTCGTCTACCAAACCTAAGGTTTCACCTAAAAGAAACGCATTGAAATTAAAACAAACGCGAGCGTGTAGCGCACCTGAAACCGATACAGGTTTATTATCACCTTCGGTTTTCCTCGTTTCCGATGAAACAATAAAAACCGGTCAATCATCTGATTACAATTACTATTCCGACGATAAAGTATTTAAAACATTTAGCTACCCTAGAGAATCATGTTATGATACATCCTCGAAACGATTGGGAGGAGTATCAAGTCCAAGGGATCGGGAACATAATTTAATGCAAACTCATAGGCGGCCTTTACAAGAGAGTAGCAGTGGTGGTGGTGGGAGTGGGAATAAAAGGATACAAGTTTTATCAGGAAGAAGTAGGAGCGTTCCCGAACAACATTGTTTATTGAAATTTAGTGATTACGAAAAGGAAAAACAATGTAATCGTAGTAGATACGATGGGCCTCAATTAGTTTTACAACATTTTTCAAGGTCACTGGATATGCCATCAACGAAATCTCGGGAAAATTTTAAAAATAAAAGGAAAAGTAGCAAAAGCAAAGGAGAAGATGATTTTCCACCGACTCTGCAATATTTCAAAGAAATGAAATCGCGTAACGGTTTAAGCAATGAAGAATTGTTAAATTTTAAAAAATCAGGTCAAAGACAGTCTGAGCCTCCATGAAAATCACTTAAATTTGAAGAATTGAACTTTTAAATAAAAAAAAATGATAATAATAATAATAAAAGAACCAACGTTTTAATTGCAATACATAAATATATAAGTAAAAAATTATTATTATGATTAGAATCTCCTTTTTAAAATGAGAAAAAAAAACTTGAATTGACTGTGCATGTATTTTTCACTCTATACGGGTTTTAATAACTTAAATACTAATAGTAATAATAATAATAATAATAATAATAATAATAATGAGTTTTATTTAATAAAAAAAAATTATTGCGTACAAAAATGTATATCGATTGATATTAAACAAGTTTTGTCGTTTGTTGTGTGCCATATTAAGTCGAAATAAAATAATTATTATTTTAAAATTTAAAAAAAAAAAATTAGTGCTTATTTATTATTCGTTTCTTTATTAGTTTTTACTTAAAAAAAACTTGAATTTAATAATAATAATAATAATAATAATAATAATAATTGAAAACACAATGAAAAAAAAAAAATTTAATTTGATTAGTTAATATATTAATAAAAATAGTTATTATTATAAATTATATTTAATTATAACCGGCACTAGTTAGATAAAAATTCTTTAACTCATACAAATTATATTATATATAATATATATAAATATGTAATAATAATAATAATAATAATAATAATAATAATAATTAACTTGGGTAAAAGGTATAAGATAATTGTTAAAAATTCTTTAAAATTTAAACATATATATAAATATACTTTATTTAATTAACTTATTTATTTTTTTAATCTTTAATAACATTTATTTAAATTTATTAATTTTTTATTATTAAAATGTTTTTTTTTTCTCGACAAAAAAAAAACCGTTAAATAAAAAAATTTTCAAAATTGGCAATAAAATAAATTTTTTACTATTATTATAATTATTATTATTATTATTATTATTATGTAAATATGAATTCTAAGTACTGAATAATAATTTAAATGTTTTATCTTATTTATTTATTTATTAATTTAATAAATAATTTAAAAAAATAATACATTTCTTTATTAATTATATAGAAATAATTTATTTAGCGGTCAATTAATAATTTTTATAAAAAAAATAAATTAAATATATATATATATATTATGTTGAAGTTAAATTTTTAATAAATTTTTAAATCAAAATAAATAAATAAATATTTATTAATAAATTATTTATTTATTTCATTTTGCGCTTAAATGAAATTTTCATCGTAGAAACTTATTAATAATTATTTAATAAAAAAAAAAAATTGTTACATAAAAAGAAAAATAAATAAAATTTTGTTGGATTTAAATAATGTTAATTAAATAAAATAAAATAAAATTATTATTATTAAATATATATAAATAAATAAATAAAATAAAATTGTTTAAAATAAATTTTTTTTTTTTTTGTAGTAGGAAAAAATTTTTAATTAATTAATTAATTAATTACCTCAGGTTTATTAAAAATTAAAGTTAATTTTATTTGTTATTAAATTTTTTCGTTTTTTTGTTTTTAAACATAAATTTTATTTATTTATAGATTTATTAAAAAAATAAATAAATAAATAAAAAATGTTGTCGTTAAAAAATGTGAAAATTATTATTTATAAAAATTGTTAAAGTCTATTTAAAAAAAAAAAAAAATCTTATTAAAAGTACAACACATTATTTAATAAATACATAAACAAAAATAAATACATAAATAAATAAATAAACGTATACTTTTTAATTAAATTATTATTATTTTTTTTTTAAATAAATTATATTATACTATAAAGTTATATTATTGAAATGATTACAAAAAAAATGGTTTATGATTATACTGTATATGAAAAATAATATAAAAATTTTGTTTTTGTTTTTTTCTTTCTCATGTTGATTTATTTAAATAATTTAATAAATAATTTTCATATATTATTAATATTATTATTGTTTTTTTTATGTAAATGTTTCTATAAAAATATTTAGTGACAAAACATGTTGAAATAAAATAATAAATTATACTTTAGAAAAATAAGAACAAAATTATTTATTATTTATTTATTTATTTATTTATTTATTTGTTCCTTTTTATTAAATTTAAATAATAAATTTTTGCAAAAATGATATATAATATAAATAAATAAATAAATTATTGTTATTGTTGTTTATGCAAATTTGGACATGTAACGTTCATTTGTGTGTTATTAATAGTACTATTCGTATGAAATTTAAAAATCCCGCCAAAATTGAAAGTTTCATTTCCGGATTCAATAGAGATGATAGTAATAACAGTTTTAATCCTCGAAAAAAAATTTTTTTTTTAATTTTATGTAATAGAACTCTTTTGTTTTTGTTTTATTTTGTTTTTATTGAAAGAAAAGTATAAAAAATTAAATTATTTATAAAAAATAGTAAAAACTTTAATCAAATATTTTTAATTTTATTTATTAAATTTTTCATTCGTTCAATCAATCAATTTTATTTACAATTATGGTTTAAAAGTGAATAATTTACAATTTGTCAAATTTATGTTAAAATTTTATTTAAAAAAATAACAATTTTATTTAATTAATAAATTATCGAACGTTTTTTTTTTTTTTGTTTAACGTAAATTATAAGTTTATATTTTAGAGTACTTTTTTTTTTTTTTTATTAGAGTAAAGCAGAATGAATTGTTATTCGATTAAATTTTTTTTTTTTTATAATCGTACAACTTAAATCGAAATTAAATAATGATTATGTGCAAATATTTATGTGTTAAAAAAGAAAAAATTAATTTTTTTATACATACATTGTAAATTATGGAATTTTTTTACTTATTACTTTTTAAATTAAGCCGCTAAAAATGGTTTTGGCTAGAAATCAAAGTCTAATTTTAAGTGTTTTTTTAAAAAGCTAAGGACAATGATTATTATATATTGATTTCATTTTATATTTTATAATTAATAGGTATGATTTTGCATTAAATCTTTATTTTATTTTTTATGTAACTTCTCATTTAATTTGTAAGCTCTATATGGATTAATGTTTATGTACTTTTTTTTTTTTTTTACTTCAGGTTCCATTAAAACGCAGTAAATATTATGTGATTGTTGTTAAAAATGAATCAGTGTTCTGGAAACTTAAATGATATATACACATTATCGAAATTATTAACCTGTGGTCGAATAAAACTCTCTGCATGGAGTGAAAATAAAAAGCATGATTTTTTAATGCTTTTCACTGGGTTAGTAAAAACTTCTAAATTTTTATGTTTTTTTGAATGTGTATAAAGGAACATGATAATTAATATTTCATATCATTTGTTCTCAATTTATTTTAATCGACTTTATGTATTTGAATTTTGTTTCAGAGATGGAGAATTTGTTTGCCTCGAATTACATGAAAAATATCCTGTAATCAAGCGATTTCCTTGGTTTTTCGACACACTTCACACCCCAATTTCGATAAAATTCTCTCCTTGTGGCTGTTTTTTAATTGTGCTGAGTCATACTTGTAATTTGTATATTTTACCTGTGTGTTCAGCATTTAACAATAATTCAAAATGTGATGTTAATTCTAAAATCTTTAGTGCAACCGATTTAACCATTTACAAATACCCATTTCTTCCGAAAGATAATAATGTATTCAATAACAAGTCGTCCAACTCGAAAGATTTCTTGCAATCTTATTTGACAACGAGTGTTAACGAAGAATCTCATATTACTTCAGCTCATTCTATTAGTATTTTGAATTCTAATGATAGTGATAATGAAAATAAGCTTAAGGAAATATTAAATTCTAAGCACAAACCTTCACCATCTGCTATTTGTTGGTGGAAATCATCAGTTCATAAATCATTGGAAATTGCTATTATCGGTTTTAAAAATGGTGACATTATATTTGTTAATTTAAATTCTGGAATAAAAATTAAAGATACAACCATTAAGGGAGAAATAAAAGATTTATTTGTTTGTGAGGATTTAAGTAATCAAAATGTTTTTTTATTTGTAAGTTTTTTTAGTTTTTAAAAATTTTATTTTTCGGTTTAAATGTATTTTTGCATATGTAGGTTTTTTGAAAATTCTGTGATATTTTTTTTTTTAGGTTATTAATAGTCGTGATCAACAGTTTAAATTGACACTTGAAGAAAAGAACATAAATTATATTTTATGCCAGAAACTCTCTAATTATGGTTGTGATTGTTTAGAATCAAATTTATCACAATGTAGTAATGATAATTCTCAAACTCCCTCACCTCGAAACTCATTACAAAGTTTGAAACAAATTTCTGTTGAAAAGTTTTCATCTTTAAAAAACAAAATCACAGAAACTCGATCTAAAATGAACCTCAAGTCAGGTACGAAGACTTAATTGAAAAATTTCACTAATATCTTGTATTTTTTTTAATTTTATTAAAATTTTATTCCTCATTAAGCAGGTAATAAAGAAGAACTTTCAAATTCTAAAGTTTATACTCTTCCAATAGAAAACTTAGATTCTGTTGTTGGTGATACCCTTATGTCTTGTCAAAATATTCTAGATTCCAACGTATTAGCTGGTTTTTACTCTCAATCTCAATTATTAACGGTAAAACTTTTGTATTATACTATATTTCAATCTTTAAGTTAAGTTGTGTAATATATTTCAAGTTTATTAAAATAATTTTTTTTCTTTCTAGATTCATTCTATGAGTTTAGATCTTGCTCCCCAGAGAATTCATAAATTACCCTTTGGAACAGAATGCGTACTATTATGTGATAATATTATATATTTGACTTTGGTGGGAGGAAAGTCAATAAAAGTAATTTCTTCAAAATTAACAGAAACTGGAATGGATCAAAATAAGGTTTTAATTTTTAACTAATAATTTATATTTATTTTAAATGAATTTATAATTATAATTTTTTCCACCATTTAGGAATTTAATGCGGAATCTGTATTGGGAAAATGGTTTTTTAAAAATATAAATACCGAAGATGTTGAGGAAAATGAAAGAGAAAAAAAATGTTTAGGTTCTGATCAGAAAAAACCTTTAGAACTTACTACCACTAATTCAGGAGAAGAAAAAGAAAGGGAAGAAGAGGAAGAATTTATTTTGAATTTGTACAAAATTTCATCCAAATCTACAATTTTAACGTCTAAACGTTTGTTTAACGAACGTGACGAATCAAAATATATTGAAAATGAGGACAATATTGAAATTTTTTCTCAACCCAAACCTGAAAATTGTTTGGTGGTCACAAACAAAAATGTTTATATAATACATTTAAAATACAATGTGGTGAAATTGGCGTTAGATCTTATTTTAGGCACAAATGAATTGGAAAAGGCTGAAAAAATTTGCACAATATTTGATATCGATCTTCAAAAATTATTAGAAATAGCCGGTGATATAAAATTAAAATCTGCTGAATTTTCTTCTGCTATTGCTTTCTATAAATTATCAAAGGTACCACTTAATTTTTTTATAAAACAGCAATAACCCCGTAAAAAAAAATTTTTTTCAAATTGATTAGAAATTAACATTTTAAGTAATTAATAATTTTATTTTATTTTTTTTTTTTTGTTTCAAGTGTGGAATATTAAAAAGTATTGCAAAATTAGCCAGCGAAAGTCATTGCACTCAAGTTTTAAATTATTCTCTTATGCTAATGTCAAATTCTGGAAATGAAATTTCACTAACGGAAAAAATACATTTAAGTAATTTGATAATAATGGCATATGCTCAAGAAGTTCTTAAAAATGAAAACAATAAAAAATTATTAGAAAAATATATGTGAGTTTAAGTAAATTAAAACTAAGAAATTAGTTTTTGATTTATTAATAAATTTTAATTATTATTTTACAGAGATTTTTTAAAAACAAATTTGTATTACGATGAAATATTAGCCGTTAGCGTCACCGGTCAGTCTTTACTCTTCAACTGTTTGTGGAAATTAATTACTTATAAAGGTTTAATATTAGACGGATATCTTATTTTAATAAAAGTTATGGAAAGATTTCTAAATATGAAAACTTTGGGTTGGAATTTAAATAAAATTGAATTTTGGAAATGCATGTCGGAAAGTTGTTTGATTGAAGCCATAATAACAAAACCCGAGTGCTTCCTAACGTATTTAAATTACGTCATTTTACATTTAAACGAATTGAATATTGATATAATAAACAGGTTTTTAAAAACCTTAAATCCTATGGCTCCTCATATGAGACCTTTTGCTTCGAAATTTATCAATTACGGAGAGTCTCTTAATGGAGTAAGAATATTTTTATAATAAAATAATGATAATAATGTAGTATATAATGATAATAAAATTAATTAATTTGATTTTAGGACAACATTCAATTGGGATTTCCATTTGGAAAATTAGTTGAACTTTTTTTAACGATATTATTTGTTAAATTGTATAAAAAAAATACCGTTGAAGTTTACGACAGAAAATTTTTAATTTCACAAAATAATTTATTATTTCAATTAAATGAAAATAAAAATTTTAGAAATATTGACAGCGAATTTTGTACCACGCCGCAAAAAACGATGGAATGTAAGTATTATAAAAATAATAATAAAAAAAAAATTGATTTGTATTGTCTTTAAGTTTTTAACAAATGTAAAAGAGGTTAAAAAAAGGTTAAAAAAGGTTATTGTTGAATGTTATGTTATGTCGTATAATGGCACACGATTCTAATAGTAATTTTTAAAATAATTAAAAAATTGCATGTTATTAAATAATTTATTATTAACTTATTGATTATTCTATTTAGTTAAGAATTCGCTTTTAAATTTACTAATCCTTTCTCGTTTTAGCGTCAGGGACTCTTGTTGAATTGTTTAACAAAAAAATAAATTCAGTTCTTAATTGTGGTTACGGGCACACAGCTTTAATAAGAAACGGTACTATTTACACTTGGGGTCAAACGGTTAAAGGTTGTCTAGGTCAGGGTCCGACAATGTCACGTCATTCACTTCCGTCTCCCATAAGTTTATTAAATTGTTTCAAATTAGAAGTTTTGTACGTTGCTTGTGGAAAAAATCACACAACTGCTTTAACTAATAATGGAGTAAGTTATATGATTTTTTCTCGTCGGGAAAAACAACCTTTGTTTAAATGACTCAAAAAAAAAAAAATTTTCATTTTTAAGGTTTATGCATGGGGTTGTTCAAAATACGGTCAACTTGGTTTGGGAGACGTTTATGAATCTCCCTATCCTCGTTTAATCACATCTTTAGCAAATGAAAATGTAATAACATTATCTTGCGGTCAATTTCATACTCTTGCTTTAACGGAAAAAGGTCAAGTTTTTGCATGGGGTTGGGGAGTTCACGGTCAATTAGGTCTTGGAAATATTGATGATCAAAGATTGCCCGTCTGCGTGAATCATTTAAAAGATCAAGTAATTAGTAATGTTTACCTGTATTGTGTGTATTTACCTGTTTTCTTTAAAGAAAAATAATTTTTATTTTACACACTTTTTTGCAAGGTTATTAAAGATATAGCTGCCGGCCATGGTCATTCCCTCGTTTTGTCGGATAAAGGACAAATATTTTCATTTGGTTCCGGTGTATTTGGACAACTGGGAACTGGAAATACGACGAAATCATCAGTACCAGTTCTCATCCAGGGTATAAGTGAAAAAATTATTTTGATCGCCACGGGATATTTTCACAGTGTAAGGAAAACGTCTGCGTTTGAAAAAGTTTATAAAATTTCTTTTACAACGATCGCAAATTTTAATTTTTTTTATAAATAAAAAACTCCTCAGAGAAAAAAGTCAATTAAAAAAATGTGTCGGTTAATCTGACGAAAATTAAATTTGATTTTGTAGTTGGCTTTGACTGAAACAAATCGATTGTACACTTGGGGTTCCAGCCCTCAAAATCTTCGCATTCAAGCTCAATCTCGTAAAAGATCTAAATTACAACAAAATCAAAATTCAACAGCACCAAATACTGATTCGACTAAATCTGGAGCCTCGGAAAATGTACAAAATGTCGATAATAACGAATCTCTTGAAGAACCTGGATCCTGTAATAAAAATTTATCGGAAACTCATTTGTCACCTTCTTTAGTGGATACCAGTAATGTCGATGGGGAAATTGTACAGGTGAAAATTACTTTTTTTTTTTTTTTTACAATAGATAAAAATTAAATTTCTTTTAATAATAATATTAAATTTTAGATCTCTTGCGGATGTCATCACTCGGCACTTTTAACGGTTTCTGGAGGTGTTTATACTTGGGGAAGATCTTTAGATGGACAACTGGGTAACGGAGGGCATAAGGAAGTAACCGCACCAACTCAAATTAACGAAAATACTTTTAAAGCCGATTGCATATCTTGCGGATGCGAATTTACGGCTGCTCAAGAAAAACAAACTGGAAAAATATTTTGTTGGGGAAGTAATTCCGTGGGTCAAGTACGGGTCACTAATGTATTTTTTAATAAAAGTTTGTTACTTTTCCAAAATTTTCATATTCATTTGCTTAAAATTTTAGTTGGCCATACCGGTGAAAGAATCAGCGACAAAATCATTGGATGGAAAACTTGTCATGTTAAAATCATGTAAAAGAATAGTAAGACTTTTAGATAGGAACACGAGTTTAAATTCTAGCGATACTCCGAAAGAAGTTTCCGGTTTACCACCGCCAACTTTTGCTTATCACAGTTTGAACCAAAATTTTATTTCGGATCCTCAAGATTTATCCGTTTCGGATTGCGATTATTCGCAAGAAATATTACATTTTACGATTGAAAATTTTAGACGTTGCATCGATTTAAATTACCTGTTGGAAACGGTAGTAAAAATTTTAAAATCGTTCGTTTTTGCAACGGTTGTTCAGAAATTTTTTTTTTTTTTTTTTTTTTTTTTTCAGAGTTTAAAATACGATAATTATCAAGCCGCATCGAAAATAGCATTGTTACAAAGCAATTATAAAAAATCTATGATTTACCAATTTAAATCTCTTCAGTATTCGAATAAAAATTTTACAGGGATGATGCCAATCGAGCCGAATCAAACGAGAAACAATGTCATTTATAAAAAAATTAAAAAAACCACCATTTGTAATGATTCGAACGAAGAAGAATCGGAAAACGAGAAAACGGCATCTTGCGAGGAACAAGAAGAAGAAGAAGAACAGAAAAGTATTAAAAAAAAAAAAAAGAAAATTTATTTATTAATTCCATTTACTCACTAAACAGAAAAATAATCATTGTCGGTTGTTTTAATTTTTCTTTCCATTTTTATTATTCAGAAATTAATCAAAACGAATCGCTTCAGCTGGTGGTGCCACAAGATAAAAATTTAGAATTTTTACAAAAATACATCGATAATGCTAAATTCATAATGGAAACTTATTTAAATTTAAATTCAACAAACGTTAAAAAAAATTTAAAATTAAAAAAATTATCCGCACTGGAAACGGGGATACAATTTTGGTTAGCAGAAAAATTACCAATGTTTCACCTCGAAGAATTTTTCAAAAATAATTTAAATGATTTGTTTTACGATTTGGGTTATTTATTGTTTTGGTGAGTGAAATACTTCGTCACGTGACGTCATAAAATTATTAACTATCTAATAAAAATTTTTTTTTGGTTTTGTAGCAAAGAAAAAGATAATAATAATGGTAATTTAATTAATGAATTTTCAACTGATTTTATTATTAAATTGATAACGAAAATTTTCACACACATAAAAAATGATGAAAATCACGATGAATATTTAGAAGGGATGTCGAAAATATTTGCCGATATTAAAAATCAAACGAAAATGGAATCGTCGCCGAACAAAGATGGACGAGATACAACTTCAAATAAAATAAAAAATAAAAATTACCTGATGAAATCACACATTGACGTCATCGAAGAAAATTTAAAAGATTCTTCCGATTTTAATATAAATTACGTGAAAATTACTTACGATGACGTTTTATCCGATAGAAATTATTTGTTCTCTTGCGGTCATGCGTTTAATAAAAAAAATTTCGAAAAAGAATTTCAAAGTTTTATTAACGGCGATAATTCTTTGAAAAATTTAAATGAATTTTACGATGATTTATTAAATAATGATAATTGCGAATTAGCATGTCCTAAATGTGTTAGAAATTATTTAATTTATAAAAATTAATTTTTATTTATTTATTTATTTATTCGATGATTTATTTTTAAACGAAAACGATAAATAATTTTTTTCATACTTTTCTTTTCTTTTTCTTGTTTCGTTGTTATTTATTTTATTTATAAACGTTTTAATTTTTTTAAATTATTAATAAATAAACAAATAAATGAGTTTATAAATAAAAAATATTTGTACTTTTTTTTTTTTGTTTTATATATTAGAATAAAAAAAATTTTTAATCGTTTTTTATATTTTATTTATTTATTTATTTATTTTTTAAAATTATTTACTACACGAAGTAATTAAGTAAGTGACATCATTATGAAGCAATTAATTATAAGTTTTTTTTTTTTTTCGGGGGGTTTTAAAGTAGAAAATTTTATTAAAGGCATTGTTGGAAAATTCTCTTAAGGGTATCGGGGGATCGGGGGCTTCAATTTTTTTTTTAAAAATTTAATTAACTCATTAAATCGCTCATTTAAAAAAAAATTTTTTTTTTTAGAAAATTATTAACGATATTTCATTAAATATATTACGTAAACATATGATAAAATACCTAAATCATTAAATTATTAATTAACATGCCTGATGTTCACTTAATACGTAACGATTATTTTACGATTTTTTTGTATAGTAAAATCATTAGAAAAATTTTATAAATGTATCAAGCAAACATCAGATTGAAAGAGGTGTTTTACTTTTGTAATCAAACTATTCGGAGGTTGCTATGGAGACCGTTTTAAGGGCGAGGCTTCTGAGAATGGATTCTCCAATCGCAGATTGTTGACTTGGCGTCCGTTGGGGGTAAAGGGGGAAGTACCGGAATTGCAAATGTCGATCTAATGTTTTTGGCATAGGAGGAGTTTGAAATTAAAATTCACGTTGTTTTCTCCCCCCCAAAAATGAGCGCTGTGAAATACGTTTAGGAATTTTAGTTGGGTAGTGGTTTCGGCTGAGTCCCCCGCACTCTCCCTGCTACCGAATGGGAAGGTTAGTGCTAAAAATTAACAAAAAAAAAAAAAAAAAAATGGAAAAAAAATATCAATAAATTTTATTTTTTAACGAGAATAAAAATTTTTATTTTGTTTTAATTAACGCAAGTTACAATAAACTAATTAAATTAATATTCGGACAATTGGTGACTAAATAATTTTAAATAACAATTTAATTATTTTCATTTTATTCCTTCATCGTAAATGAGCATCATTTTAAAATGAAAAAAAAAAATTATTTATTTATTTTAATTAATTATTTTATAATTGGTAACTCAAATTTATCGCATATTTCACGACATTTACATATCTAACTTTATTATATTTTTATTTTAAACATACACAAAATAATTTTTCAAATTATTACATAAAAAATAATTTTTTTTAAAAAAAAAAATTATAATAAATAAACAATGATTATTATTTAAATAATTAATGAGCAACAAAAAAAATTAAAAAAAAAAAAAAAATTACAATGAATATAAAACGATTCCGATAAATAAAAAAAAAAAAAAAAACAAAAAAAATTATAATTTATTATTTTATTTTTTTTAATTACAAAATCAAATAATTTTTTTTTTTAATTTTTATTTAAATAATTAATATAAAATATTAAAAAAAAAAAAAATTAACTTAAAATAAATAAATATACACCACACGCAACGGTCAAATCATCATTTCATTTATTCCAGTTTAAAAATTAAAAAAAAAAAAACAATTTAATTTAATTTAAACGTGACCAAAAAAATTTTTTTTTTGTATAAGAAACAAAAAAAAAAAAAAAAAAAGGTAAACATTTATACACATTAAAATATATAAATAATTAATTAATTAATTAAATTAAATATTGCAAACCAGTAACAAACAAATTATTTGTTCAATAAATTGACAAGCAGCTCCGGCATCATTTACAAACTAAAACATTTTTTTTTTTTTTACATTAAAATTAAATTTCTTTTTTTTCCCCCCCCCCCCCCCCCCCTAAATATTAATAATAATAATAATAATAATAAAAACAAAAATAAAAATTAATTTTTTTTATTTTTCTTTCCATTCCTTTCCTCTCCTTTCTTTCTTTTTACATACGTTGATTTTTTTTTTTTTTTTTGATTATAACTCTTTGTCTAATTTTTTTTTTTTTTTGTTACTTTAATTAAATATAATTTTAATTTACTAAATTTTTAATTTGAAAATAAATTTTGCTGATTTGTATCGTTTTCGAAATCGCTCCAAGCGTTATTCAATTCGACAAAAATCAATTTTGCGATATTTTCATATTCTGTTCCGACGAGCTGAAACAAACCAAAAAAAAATTAATAAACTCATATTGAAGAGTGATAAGAATCACGTCGAAAAGCCATCATGTTATCATATCAGCCACAAACCTTATCCGGATGAACTGCCAAACATGCTTTCCTGTAGGCTTTTTTGACGTCAGACGAAGATACCAACTGCGACATGTCGACACCTTTCCATTTGCAATCCTCCCAAAGGACAGAATTTATCGAACAAAGCAATGCTCGAATGTTTCCCTTTTTCCCTTCGGTCCATTCGTAAATCTGTAAAATTTTTTCTTTTTTAAAAAGTGAATTTGAATTAAAAAATGAAGAGAGGAGTGAGAAAAAAACCTACCTTCATCCTATCGGGATCTAATTCTTTTACGAGATCCTCTTTCCTTAATTCGTTCATCGTTCTCGGACCCGTGTCTTTCTTAGAAGCAAATTCGTAACCTTGTGACCCTAGCAAATCTCCGAAAACGTCAGAACTAGTTTTCCCACCCTTTTCCGTATTTTGTTTTTTTGTAAAAGCCGAATCGAAATGAGATCTGCTGTAATCGGGAGCGCGATTTTCCGTCGTAGCGGATTTTGCATTGTGCAATGGAGTACCTGAAATCGACAGTTGCACATTATTAATAACTGCTCTTTGAATTCGATAATTTTCAAAAAATTTAAATTCGTCATCAGTCCTACCTCCGGGACTTTTGGTCGTTGGATTGTTTTGAGGAACGCCGAATGTTTGAGTCGGTAACTTATGAATCGGAGATTGAATGTTTGGAGATCCATTTATCGGTGTAACCGGTTTGGAATTGCTTGTGGGAATGTTAAGGTTTGAGACAAAATTTCCTATAATGATAATAAAATAATAATAATAAAAATAATCAATAGAAAGGAAAAATATAATCATTTATCACTTACCAAGATCCGCAAAGGGATCTTTATTTTTTTGCTCTAAATTAGGAGTGCTCGCATTCCTTGTTAAACCGCTTGAATTTACGAATAAATTATTTTGTGGCAAACGTATTTGCTCATCTGTAGTACAATCCAGCTATAAATTTAAACAATAATTCACAATATGTATATTTAATTTAAAAAAAAAAAAAAAGAAACTATGATCAAAAATAATTTAATTAAACATTTCAATTTATTATTACAAATAGTTAATACCAAAGTGTTTGCTGACACGGATTTTTCGCTACCGAAAGGATCAAAAATGACGTCACTTTTAACACTACTTTGATTCTTGCTCTCCGACTTTGTATCGAATAAATCGCTTAACTCGTGAAACCTCGGATTGAAAGAACTACTGGTACTGCTTTCGGTTGCATTTTCATTATCCAAACTTAAACCTAATAGATCCACACTTTCTTGCCTGAAAGTAATATCACTTAATTACCCTATCACTAAAATACAAGAAGAAAAAAAAAATATTTAAATAAAAGTTCGATTAAATTACTTCTTGATTTCTGGCACTGGTTTGTCCGATTGTATAAGATTATCAGTGAATTCTGAATTTTTCAACACCTCGCCATCTTTTTTATCAATTTTTTTATTGACAAAAGATGGAGGTGGAGGTCTTGATGGTGCAACATTTTCAGGTTTACGAGAAGTCGACGGTTTCAAAACTGAAATGATACCAAAAAAAAAAAAAATGTTTCTACACTTGCTAATAATTATTTATAATAATAACTTTAAGTTTTTTTTCATACCAAAGCTTTCGATAGTTTCTTCCATTTCGAGTGAATTAGCAAACAGCAAAACGGGATTTATTTTTTTTGGCGCAGTCCAAGGCGTTGGACGCGAATCTTGAGAATAATCACAAACAAATATATTAACCGTGACGGTGAATTTCTGTTGATATTGTTCTTCTCCGGCTAAATCATCCAACTCGTTCCTTAAATTAAAATACATATATTTTAAAATGAAGGAACGTATATATATTTATTTCTCATTGATTCGAAAAATTTTCACGTACTTTGCAAACTTTATACTTGTATCCTCTTCTGGAATGAAACCCGTGTGAAACTGAAACTGACATATTTTATGACCCGTGGGTTTTCCCGAAGACATCATTCCACCCAAATTTTGCCTCGCGTGAAAAACGGATAAAGTTATATCTCCGCAAACGGTTAAATTTAAAGGAATTATAACCTGAAAAAAAAAATGTATAAATATTTCTAGATGTTGAATATTAAAATAACGTAAATTGTTATGTAAGGAATCGCACGTACTTTTCCTTCGGCTATGTTAAATAACCTCATTCGGTCATAATCCACTCGAGTAGTCTTTACTTTCTCATCTCCTTGATATAAATCAATATAAGGCCTGCATCCATCCCTAAAAAAAAAAAAAAAAAAAATAAAATAATTTTTAAAATTAACTTTTTAATTTATAATTATTAATTAACGTAACGGGATTTTTTTGTAATTACCTTAGCTTAGTGAAAAGTGGGACCGGTTGCAAAATCACTGATACAATAGTTACTGGCTGCGTGTGAGGATGAACTGATGATGGATTTTTGATGATTTGACTAAAATATCTCAAATACCTAAGAGATGAAATAATTTTAACTGACCGGATTAAGAAATATTCATCAATTAAATTTAATAAATAAATGTCTAATATACCTTATTTCTGACGGTTGCAACTCGGGAGGAGCTCTTTTAACTGCAAACATTTGTAAAGCATCTTCAAATCTTTCCATAATTTCACAGAACAATAGTAAAGCGCAAAAGAAAACTGCCGAACTAGCTTTTCCATCCTAAGAAAAATCATTTTCAAATTCATTAGTTAAACGTACAGTAATATAAAATTTTATTTAAAAAGAAAAAATAAATAAATAAAAACTTACTGTGCAATGTATAACTATAACGTTTTTTTCGTTTTTATCCAAAAATTTAATAGCATCTAAACACAGATTATATAAAGCATGAAGTGATGGAACTTTTTTAAAGGTTCCGAAAGGGCATTCGACTACCTAAAATTTAAAAAATTAAATTTAATCATCCTACGGAAAATTTCGTGTTTAAAAAGGCACTTTAAAAAGTTTTTTTTTATTTCAAAATAATGTTTGTTTACCCTTCCAATTCCCAGTCTCATCGGAGGATAACTTCTACCCGATAAGTTGTACACGGTGTACCTTCCACCGGAATACCTTGCATCGAGAAATGCTTTTACGTCATCTATATGATTACTTTTATAAGCAGATTCAATACCGTCTGCAGGAAATGGCATTATTATGATTCTTGAAGTTACATAAGAAATGTCGAGATCAGACCTGGTTATGGTCCTGAAATATAATTTTTTTTTTTTTTTTTTACTTAGCATTCATAATGAACGATAAATCCTTCTTTTACTTATGGTAAAATTAGTGTATCACTTACTGCTGTACCGTTTGCATAACTTTATACTAGTGTCCTTTAAATTTTCAAAAAGATCCCGCGCCACTTTTATAGTGGAAAACAAACCACTCTCTGGCTTAACAGGGTGGCTTCTCATATGACTAGGTCCTTCAGAACTCGTAGGATTGGGTAATCTGCAAAAAATTTTATTAATTTATTAAATTAATAAATGTTATTTTTTAAATTACTTTTAAGTTTTACCTCTGTGTTATTTTTTTATAATACTTTTTATAATTGTTGATATTTACTTTAACTTACCGAGGAGACTCTGAAACTTGAGAAGAGCTTAAATTAGTAGAATGTGTCATGGGTGCAGGTGGCTTTGTTGTTTTTATTGATTTAGTTGGGTCACTAGGTACTACAAAAGCTAAAGCAAAATTAAAAATTACTCAGTATGATACAGTATGTAAATACAGATGTTCATTACGTAATCAAATCAAACAAGAAAAAATTCTTTTTTTTTTCCCTCAAATTTTACCTTCCAAATTTAATGATTCTGTTAATTTAAAATTGTTACATTCACTTATCGAAGCCAGCCTCTCCAACAAGTCATTAACTGATAACCTCGTTTCAGGATTCACTTGCAGACATCCTCCTACGAAAGAAAGTAATCAATTTAAAATAAATTAAAACCAAGAATAAGTTTTTTTCTATATGTAATAAAATTATAAAAAAACTTAAGTTTTACTTACTAATGAGATCATAAAAAGGAGAATATTTTGAATCACCAGAAGGAATATTGCAATTTGCATTAAGTATTTTTAATTTGGCTGAATCGCTAAAAGGATGAGTCATAAAGCACAGGGTATACAGAATACAGCCTAGGGCCCAAATGTCACAGGGTGTACCTATAGGATAGTTATTCCAAGTATCTATCATCTCAGGAGCCCTATACATAGGAGTAGTAAATTTAGCCATCTGTAAAAAAATATTAATGAAATTAATACAATTTACTCACAATGATGTAAAATACAGTAATAGTAAGAAAAAAAAAAAAAAAAAACCAAAGCATACATACATCATCTTCTAATAATGAATGCTGACCAGCAGACCATAATGAATCAGGTTGATGCACTTTAAGTGTACAACTTCCAAAGTCACAAAGTTTTATTGTGTTATCATTGCTAATTAATAAATTTTCTATCTAAAAAGATGCAACTTATTTATACAATCATAATTTATTTTAAAATATAAAACTTTATTTAATTTTTATAATTTAAAAATTATTTTAATTTTAATTAGTTTATTACTCAAACCTTTAAATCCCTGTGGATAACAGGTGGAACTTGAGAATGCATGTGTTGAACTGCTTTGCATATTTGCCAAAAAATTTTGCATACTGTATCGGGAGAAAAGGGGGTTGTTCTATTACTTAAAACATCTACTAAACTTCCTTTACAAAGTTCAGTTAAAATGAGATATTCATTTTTCCCATGTGATGATGAACTTTTATCTATAGAAGCTGCAGCTAAGTACTGAATAATATTAGGATGACCAGATAACTTTTTTAATATATTTATTTCTTCTAAAACAATAGCATTACTCTCAGGGTCAGTTGCAAATAATCTCTGTAAAATACATTTCAACATTAGACAAGATTTAATTAAAACACACATTTAAAATTTTTACATAGGTAAAATCTAACCTTAAGAGCATATTCTTTCCCTGAATTGGGATCTTGAACTATGTAAACAAAAGCTGAAGCACCTGAAACACAAAACAAAATTAATTTAGTCTCCGAAAAATATCAGAATTTATGACCACAAATTTTTTTTAACGAAAATTCAACAGTCAAATAAATTATGAGTAATTTACTATGTAAATATTTCAAAAAAATTGTTAGAGTAATTTAAATTTAAATTTAAAACCTCTCACTAGAAAATTTTGACATGAGTAATTTTAAAAATTTGAACTTATTGTTATTGGCAACAAAAGAAAACGATTTTTGGAAAAAAAAAAAAAAAATTCAAAAAGGAATTGTGTAAAGTTATTCAATTTAAAACATACAATATCCAGCCTTTGTAATTTTAATAGACAAAAACGGTTTTTAAAATATATTATTTACCTTCAGCTATGAGTTTTTTAACAATAAGTTTAACATTTCCTATTTCGACAACTTGACCCACAAATTCATTACTACTTTCTGAACCATTACTATTAAAATATCCAAAAGCAGATTTAAATAAATCCGACATTTTTTTCTATAAGTGATTAAATAAAATTAAAATACATAGGACGCCATTTTTAATTGCAACTGCGCATGTCTTGCCCAATTTTTTTTTCCAGCACATTATCTAATGTATTATTAAAAAAATTTAATAATTATCCAATGTTAAATAATCAAAAGGCGCAAATGCATTTTTTATAAAAAAAAATTTTTATTATGCTTTTACGAGTAGTATTTACGATGCTATGTACAACATGTCGTTAAAAATTTTTTTAGAGTATTCGCAATTATTAAAAATATCCGTAAAATCACTATTTTAAGTACAAATACATAAATGAGAATTATTAATTTTAATTAATGTTTTTATATATAAATATCAATAAATAAATATTGAATCGCACAAATACTTGACATTTTAACTTTTTTTTTTTTTGTTTTTGTAAATGAGATTTTATAAATCAAAATTTTATTAATGGAAAAAAAAAAAATAAGCAGTTATCGTTTGAATAATGGATCCCAATTCAGAAACAATGGCCTTTATTTAACAACGATTCCATTATGAACAGTTAAAAAAAAAAAACAGTGTTAAATAGGAACAAAAGATTTATAAATTAAATAATTTACTTTTGATATCACAGGCAATTGTAAATTGCTTTAGATAGTCTGATAATTTTTAACATTCAGTTAAGTGTTCAAAAGATATTTTATTCTTTTTTAGTTTTTTTTTTTTAATTTCATTTTAAAAAATTATTCAGTTACGTATTTTTAATTTTCATTTTATAATAAAATCGTTTTATAATAAAAAAATCTAATCGGTAGATTATAGATTTATACAGATTAAGAGCATTAAAAAATTTTTAATAGAATTTTAAAAATTTCCATTTTATAAACTTTTAAAGTTTTGATAATAAAAGAGACAACATATGAAAATATTATAAAATTATAATTTTAAAAAATTTTTTAAAATCATTTTTATATAGTGTAAAAAACAAAAAAAAAATTTATATTGAGATTAAAATTATAATCTGAAATTTCCCACCATAAAGATAAAACCAATGAAGTAAACAATCTGACCCAAAAACTTTCAGTTACAAGCATTTTAAATTTTTTTTTTTTTAATACATAAAATATTATGATTTTTTAGATATGACCGATTCAGGTTTAGAAAAAAAATTAAATGAAATTGCTGTGGAAAATTTTAGAAAATATTTAAGAATTCCATCTGTTCAACCTAATGTTAATTATGGTAATATAATAGCTTTAATTTTCTTTTTTTTCTTTCATAATTTTTCTAAAGGTTAAATTAATGATAATTTTTTAGAATCCTAATAAAATAAAAAATAAAAATAATTTTTGCAGAAGAATGTGTAAAGTTTTTAACTCAACAGGGAAAAGAATTAAATTTGGATGTGAAAATTTTCGAAATAGTTAAAAACAAACCAATTGTTATACTAACAAAAAGAGGAACAAATTCTAGATTGCCATCAATTTTGTTAAATTCTCATATGGATGTTGTTCCCGTTTTCCCAGTATGACAACAAATACATCTTTGTAAGATTTATTTTTACAAATTTATATTTAATAATTTAAATTTACTTACCTTGTAAAGGAATTTTGGAAATATGGTCCTTTCGATGCTAATGTCGATGAAAATGGTAATATTTATGGAAGAGGTGCTCAAGACATGAAATGTGTTGCCATACAATATTTAGAAGCATTAAGGAGATTAATAAGAAAAAATGTACAATTTAAAAGAGATATTCATTTGTCATTTGTTCCTGGTGAGATTTTTATGGATATTAAAAGGCATTTTAACAATCAAAATTAAAAATCATTAAGGTTATTTAAATGTGTTTAATTTCAGATGAAGAAATCGGAGGAATCGATGGAATGAAAAAATTTGTTTACACGAGTGATTTTACTGAATTGAATGTTGGTTTCGCTTTAGATGAAGGGTATTCAAGTCCAACATCAACTGTTTATGTATTTAATGCAGAAAGAAATATTTGGCGTAAGAATTTCATTATATTAATTAATATTTAAAAGTAAAATAATCATCATTTGAATTATTTAATTAAAAATTATAATGCTGCTTTGTAAATTAGAAACAATCGATTGATAATTGTAACACAATTTTTTTTAAAAATATTGTAATGGTGGTTTGAAAAAAGTACGACAATGTTACATAAATATTTTTTTTTAAATTTATGCTTTTATGGAAAGTTTATCAAAAAGTAAACATTTTGATTATACAATGCATTCATTTAAATTGAAAAAAAAAAATTTTCATTCATTTTCATTTTTTTGTTTGCATTTTTAGAAATTGAATTTATATGTTCTGGTTCAGAAGGTCATGGATCACTCCTTTTGGAAAATACGGCAGGAGAAAAAATGGAAAAATTAATAAGTAAAATAATGAGTTTTCGACAAACACAAGTTGAAAAGTTAAAATTAAATAATAATTTGACAATCGGAGATGTAACAACGGTTAATTTAACAATGTTAAAAGTAAATTTCAATATTCAAGTACAATTTAAACATTATTCAAAGAAGAAAAAATTAAAATTTAATGTTTTTTTGTGGTTAGGGTGGAGTAGAAGCAAACGTTATTCCTCCTCGATTGAGTGCCACATTTGATTTTCGTTTATCATTAGATGTTGATCTTGTTGATTTTGAAAATCAAATTAAAAAATGGATAAAAGACTCAGGGGATGGTATAGAAATGAAATGGATACAAAAAAATTCAAGAATAAATCCGACAAAAGTTGATGAATCAAATTTATTTTGGATGAAAATAAAAGAACAATTTGATTTGATGTAAAATATTATTATTATTATTTATCACGTTTTACTTTTTTTTTCGAAAATTCATTTATATAAAATAATTACAGGAACATAAAATACAAAATATCCACATTTCCAGGTGGAACAGATGGAAGATACTGCAGAGAAGTAAATTCTCTTCATTTTTTATCAATTCTTATGCTTATCTTCATATTTAATGGATTAACTATAATCTTAATCCCTTTTTTTTCAGGTGGGAATACCCGTTATTGGATTATCACCGATTATGAACACTCCCGTATTGTTACACGCTCACGATGAATTTCTCAATAAGGATATTTTTATTAAAGGTATCGATATTTACGAAAAGTTGATACCTGCAATTGCAAATCAAGTTTAATTATTATTATTATTGTTATTTAATAAATTTAACAATCGATCAAAAGTGCCTCCGTATTACATTATATATATATATAGTTTGTTATTATTATTATTTTTTTATATAAAATGTTATTATATGAAAAAAATTTATTTTATTTATATTATTAAAATTATAGAAAAAAAAAAAAAAAAATCAATTTATTTTTTTTATTTATCACACATGCACACACGCACTCACACACCTAAAAAAAAAAATTATTAATTTAAGGAAGGATATTAGAAAAAAAGAAAGAAAGAAAGAAAGAAGGAAAATTTGATTTTTTAAAAAAAATATTTTTAATGTAAAAAAAGAGATTCAGTGTAAACAAAGTTATATAAAAATAACTTAAATCTAAGTTTGTACATTTCTGGAAATCTTAGGCTAATATTTTCTTATTTTTTTTTATTTAAAAAAAAACGTACTTATAAGATCATACATTTCCCCCTCCCTTCCTCCCCACATTCCTCCCCAACACACACGTTTTTCCACCCCACCCCACCCCACCCCCCCTCGCGCCTCTGAATATATAAAATTTTTAGACAAAAGGCATTACTAGAAGTATGCTATTGATAATTTACATATTACAACAAACAAACAGAAAAAAAATTAATTAATTTTATAATAAAAAATAAAAAAAAAAAAAATTTTCATTTGTGAACAGAAAAAATGAAAAAAAAAAAATGAAAAATATTTTTTTTTTTTTTAAATATAATTTTAACATCAAAATCTAAAAAAAAAAAGAAAAGAATCAAACAAAAGAAAAAAGTTTTGTAAATAATTTTTTAATTTCAAAATAAATTATTATTATTATTATTATTACTCCGAATTAATAAAAAAATATATATATATAA